CACATGGATACATTTTCATAGAAGTGGGATCAGGAACTTATTTATTTCATGTTTTCCCTCCAGTTCTTCTGATATTTATCTTCTGAAAGATATGCTCTGGTTCAAGATGAGGTTTTTGGGCTTGATGCAGAATGTCTGGGTGAAATTCTGTTGTGACTATGTTAAGCAAGTGTTAATATTAATTAAAACACTGTTAAGTACAACCACATTCATTCATCCCAACAATCTGAAAGATCACTGACTAAAGGAACATTTATCAAGAATAAACTGGGATGTTTTGTTTGTTTTAAAAGTTTAAAAGAACTATGTGAGTAATTGAGCCTGATGCTAGTGGCTGCCATGGCATTTGTAGCATTGTCCCATAAACTCACTATAAGAGATTGATAATCCATTTCCAACCTGTTTCATTAGATACTAGATTAACAATGAGGAAAAATATTATCATTCAGTATTCAGAAATTGTTATTTCTGAAGATACTGGTTTCTTTTTATGGTTAAACTATTATTAAAGCAGATTGGACATGCTCTTTTTAACATGGGTTCAGCTCATTGATTCTTTTTTGGGAGGGAAGTAGGGCTACGACTGACCATTTGTAGGGATGTAAAATCCTGTTTAATTGGTTAACCAGTTAAATATTATGTGTGGATGGAACAGTCCCTGCTTGTGGGTTGCCTAGGCTCCGGACGTCACCCAGATTCCCCATGAACAGAGCCTATGGGGTGCCCGTCCCCACCGTGAACAGGGGCTGCTCCAGATGACCATAGCAGGCCCTGTAAATAGTAGTCTCCCCCCATGGTGCTGGTGCAGATGCCTTCCTGTGGCAGCTGGGGGGCTGCCGCAGCCCCCACTGGTTAATGGTTAACCAGAATCTTTAAGGGCGGTGCTTACCAGTTAACCTTTCACTTCCCTAGGGTACAGTTCCCTTCTTAATTTAACTGACTTCCAAAATCTTTAGTTAGCTGTGAATACTAAGATGTTGAGACCTATTGAAATGTGGTGAGTGAGCAAACAATTACCCATTTCAAACTCTGCTTCAGAAAGGGAGCAGATGCAAAATTATAAACAAAGCATTCCTAAGATGCTATAAGGGAAGATATTTTCTTCTCCAAATAGGAAATAGTTGAAGGTGTTTATGAAACTTGTTTTTTGCTTCATTGAGCCCATTATACCTGCAGACTTGCTGAAAAGAATCACTTCTTCTGTATTATCTAGGTGTTCAGCAATCTTTTTACTGCACTGTGAGTTGTAATAAACTATATTTCTAAATGAGATAACTGACATTTAATCTTTCCTTTAAAATGTTACGTAATTTATAACTGAGAGAGAGAAAAGCAATCTTTTTGTTTGGTTTGGACTACTAAATATTATTTTTGCTTATTCAAGTTTAATGTGCTGATGAGGATGAGCATAAGTTCATGTATGACCCTGAAGAACTATAGTGATGAGGGAGAACAAAATCTTCATGTAAAGAGAAGTTCCATAATGATGTAACTGAAGTGATTAATGGTTGAGACAGTCTACAGCTAACGTTTGTTAGCATGTTAACAATTTGGGCACTGTACCTTAGAGGAAAAACATGGTCCGTGACTTAAACATATGTGCTAAATCGGGTGGTCTCAAACTCAATTTACCTTAGGGTCAGTGCCAGTTCTAAAATCCTCCTAGTGGGCCAGTGGGCCCCTCATGTCCCCTGGCCCCGTCTGCCACACAGGGCAATTTACTCTCTCCCTCAGCTAGAGCGGCTTCTGGCTGCTAGCTCAGTGCCCTTGCTGGCGAATGTGTGTGCAGAGCTGTCCTGACCATAGCGTGGCCACCCTGGGCCTGGAACTTTGGGGAGGCTCCATGACGGCTGTCCCAACCATCCTATGAATGGAATGGTCCTCCATACTCAGGTTAGCTTGCAGGTCCCTGAGTGGGCTGGGACTGACAGTGGGTCAGGCACCAAGGTTTTCTGTAAGCCACACAGCTCTGCAGCTGTTTAATGAGCCCCACCCAGAGACTGAGAGCTCTTGCACAGGGAACTCAGATAACTGGCTGGGGGAAGGGCCATCTTGCTGAGCAGCAGCAGCTGCTGCAAGAAATGGAGGAGCTGCGAGAGCAGGTAGGCAGGGGAGATGAGGAGGGAAGGAGGGATTAAGTGGTGGGGGAAGGGAGTTGTAGGGTAGGGGAGTTTGGGGAGATGAGGAGGAGTGTGGGAGTAAGTGGCTGGAGAGAGTTAGAGGGTACGGGAGTTTGGAGAGTCCCATTTTCTGACTGGGAAACCTGGAGAGGGGGGGAGAGGAAGAGGTAGAGACAGAAACCCAGCACTTTCCTCCAGCCTCCTGGGCTGGGAGGGGTGTCTGTTGTGTGTGTGCGCGTTCCAGGACATTTGCATGATTACATTTCAAGCAAAGTTTACCTAGGTGTTAATGGCTTACGGTAAGAAAGAAAAGGATTATTTCAACAGAATTTCTTTGGAGAGTTGTAGATATGTAAAACTCTGATCTTAATGATTTTTTGAATCTTGTGTTACAATTTATCATGTATTAATTAGTATTATATTAAGTCAAGATCTTTGCTATCTGGTAGAGTTCTGGCTCTAAGGAGTCAGAAGTAGCAAGTACCAGGTGTGATGTTAGTTGTTTTATAGGGTGAAACCTTATTTGCAAGCTCTTTGAAACATGGATCTGTCTACAAACTCTGAACCCATGTGTTAATTTGGTCTGGGGTTTCTACTCTTTGAGTTGGTGACACACACAACTTTGAATTGGTGAAAGTTTCAAACCAGGAAAACTTTTCTCTGTAAACTTTTACAGGTCTGTTTCACTTGTATTTGTATAATATGGATCCTAAACCTTCCCCATAGAAACTGTATAAGTCTGAGTGAATGCCTTTTACTCACTTTTTTAGTGTTGGAAAATATTGTATTAATATTTGGAAGGAGAGCATGACTATTACTGTTGACTCATAGATTGGTTTAGCATCTTAAAGCTGAGCTATGTGTGGATAATATGCATTTTGGTGGGTTTACTAGCTTGAGTTGTTAGGATGATAATTCATATGCTCCAAGGATAGTGTTAATTTTCTTTTTATTTGATTTCATATTAAATAAACATCATTAGCATTGCTCCTTGTTAATTATCCCTTGTTTTAATATATTTTCTTCTACACCTATGGACTGTTTCAAATATATATTTATAGTAAACTTCCGATAATCCGGCACCTTTAGGACCCAGGGGGTGCCGGATTATCAGATATGCCGGAGTACCGGAAGGGGGGCTATGAGGGTCTGGGGTGGGGTGGGGGGTTGGCGGGGAACTGTGCAGCGTGGGAGAGGGTGGCGCTGCGGGACCAATCCGGCAGCACCTCAGCTGCTCTGCCCCAGGGCTTCCCCCAGGCATACAGTAAAACTCCAATTGTCTGGCATCCAGTAGTCCAGCCCTCCCAATAGTCCAGCCGGACAATTGGAGCTGCTCTGCGACGCTTCCCCAAGGCCGCTGCTGAAACTGACCAGCTGCGGACTTGGGGAAGCCGGGGGCAGAGCAGCTCCAATTGTCCGTCTGGCCAGAGCACTTCCGGGGGTCCAGTTGGTACCAAACTATCAGGAGTGCCGGACCACTGAATGCCGGACAATTGGAGTTTTACAGTGTATATATAGATTTTTTTGTTTGTACTAGTTGTGCGTATCCACACACTACCTCAATATTGGTGTTGCACAATAAAATTTCACCCCACCCAAAAGACAATTCAATCACTCAAGAATGGAAAATGTTAGAGGGAACACTGTCTGGTGCCCCCACACTCATTGCAGCGACAGAAGCTGTGGAGAAGTAGAACAATGCAACATACTGTTCTGCTCCAGCGCCATCTCCAAAGCGAGCCTGCGAGTCTGGGCAGGGGCTCTCTGCTTTTTGCTGTCATGAGGTTGGCCTGGGAGATGGTGGCGGAGCAGAACAGAGGCCGCTGCATTGCTCTGCTTCCTTGCAGCCCCCTATGTACTCAGGCACCCCTCCCAACCCCCATCTTTCCTGCCTCCCCCCACTGAAGTAAGGTGAGGAAATTTGATTTATTTTTTCTTTTCCATATTACGTGTTCAGAATAAAATGTTGCTAATGGGGTATTTTGTGTGTCACAGAATCTTGAAACTTGATTATTGCCAATTTGATAAATTCCTAGTTATGGTCAGAGAGTTGCTATAGGCTATGGAAACTAGCTTATAGCAGGGATGTAATAGTATATTCGATTAACTGATAAGCAGTAGTTTATAGGTTAATGCTATAAACTATGTGCATTTCCCTCACCCCCTCTCCCTGCCAGTAAATTTTTTAGCAGGCTGACCAGCAGCCTCGCTTGTGACGAGTCTGGGACCTACCCCTACTATGGCTCTGCATTTAAAGTATATTAGGAGCTGGGTGGGCAGGCAGCCCAGCTCAGTCCTGGCTCATGCTGGGTCCAGGAGCTCAGGAACTACTGCCACCCTATGCTGCTGCCTCTTTCTCAGAAGCAGCAGCACAGGGTGACAGGCAGCCGGTCTGTGAGGGGGAGCTGGTTTTTTAAATGGCTCCCCTTGCAGACCTACTCTCGCCTGGCACCCAGTGCTGCTGCCTCTGATACAGTGGCTGCCCCCAGGATCTATAGAATATCGACTAACTGGTAGAATTTCATGAGGTTACTTGACTATTGAATTAACTGATATTTAACATCCCTAGCTTATAGTCACCATAATAGTATCCCAAAAGCACTTTACTACTACACAAATAATAGGCATCATCTGTGGAGTGAAATATGGCAGTTGTTACAGATGTTGTCGTCTTTGGGTTGAAAATGTATTTATTAAAGAATGCTATGCTATATTTCATAATATTTAAACAGTTTTGACCATATAGCCTGGTCAAATTTAAGTTATTTTATTTTGTGTTCAACTGGATATAATATTGTTGTATTCATATGAAAATATTTTTAAATAAATTCTGTTCAGTTACTAATGTTCTAAAAATTCTAGAAGTAAACCTGAATCTCATGTCCTAATAGCAGATTTCCATTTTGTAGGAAATCAAGCCCCAAGGCCATTATAACCTTGGATACAGTGATTCTCTTGGACGGAAAAGCCACATTGATGATTACAGCACATGGGACATTGTCAAAGCGACACAGTAAGTGTGTTGTTTTTGTAGTTTTAAACTTGTCAATATCCTCACTACTGGAATGAAGGTAAAATGAAAATCTCTTTTAGTTGCATATATTTTGAATGAATAATTTATGTTTTTTGTTCTCGGAAACAGCTGATGGATTATAGTATAGGATTTGAAAATTGAATTAAAATGCTTTGGAGGGAAATTTATGCTTTATGAAAATATACAGAAATATTTCTGCAGAGTATTGAGATTTAGATTATTGCTGGAGTGGATGATAGAGAAGAGATTAAATGCTTTCTGAGATTAGTTTTTCTTTCTGTTAAGGCTGTTCCTTATGTTTTAAAATACAAATAAACTACCGTGTGGGCTGGATCACACAGTTACAAAATGCTTATTTGATTTTAAGTGTTAAGACCATTGGAGCACAGTTAGAGTGCATAAATTGGATTCCCCTGATCACTTCTTAAGTCTACAGTTTCACTGAACTGTAAATAAGTGGTACAGTAGAGCTTAATCATTGTGATTGTACTAATGGGGTAAGTATATTTTATATAGGGGTTAATTTACATAAAATAAAGATAATTTAGAGATTAATCAGTTTCTTATTTTATGTTAATATGCAATTCAGAAAGTAGCAGAAGAGGCTGATTGATCCTCCTGCAATTCAGGAGTATATATGACTTTCATAACCATAATATCTGAGTGCAAATGACATTATAAAATTGTTTTGTGAATGGTCTGAGACAGAGGTGGCAATATTTTTTTAATGAAAGGCCACTCCAAGATTTTGGACAGTGGTTAGGGGCCTCACTTCTGTGGAGGGGGCACAGGTTTGGGTTGGCAGGTGGGGTAGAAGGGAGCATGGTATAGACTGGACTGAGATTCAGGAGGGAGTGTGGGGTCTGAGAGGGAGTTCAGGTGAAGGAGAGGGTTATGATGTGGGGTAGGGTCTTTGGGTGAAGGGTCCCGAAGAAGACTCTGGCGAGAGGGAGTGGTGTAGGAGGGGGTGCAGGATCTGGGAGGGAGTTGTGACCTGGAGGAAGGGGTTCAGAGGGTTTGGGTAGTGATGTGGGACAGGAGAATGGGGTGCAGGATCAGGGAGGGGTATGTGCATAGGAAAGGATTCTGGCCTGGGGGAGGGGTACAGGAGGAGGTGCAGGGTCTGGGAGGGAGCTGTGACCTGGATGGGTTGGGGAGAGGGGATACTAGGGTTGCCAGGAGTCCGGTATTGAACCGGACAGTCCGGTATTTTTGCCTCCTGTCTGGTTAAAAAAAAAATAATCAGAAAATACCGGACACCTAAAATGTCCGGTATTTTCTGATTTTTTTTTCCCAGCCAGAAGGTGAAAATCCCAGGCTGTCCGTCTCAATATGAAGGCAGTTTGGCAACCCTAGTGCTTACCGGGTTCTGCAGGGGAGCTGTCCGGGCCTGTGCAGGGAGGTAAGATGGCGGCTGGCTGCCTGCAGCCTGTTGAGGCCAAAAAGCCTCATCACGCATTTCTTAAATAAACATGTAATCTCATCGAATCTTACACAGTTATTTGATAGTCCCCCATGGTGGGGCCAGCAGCCAGTGTGCTCCCAGCACCGCTCCTGGGGAGCCCCCTGTTACCTAACGCTGCTGTCTCTGTATCAGAGGTGGCAGTAGGGTGGCAAGCAGGAGCCTGTCTGCAAGGGATCATGCAGAGCAGTTCCTGTCCACATGGGGGCCTGAGCTCCCTGCGGATAGTGGCTAAGTCACCATCCCATGGAGCAGCCTGTGTCTGTGGTGGGATATAGAGGCAGGGAGGGGGAGAGAGTAAAAGAGGGGGGCAGGCGTCTCTGTGGAGCCAGTATGTGTGGAGAGCTGGCTTAAAAGTGTAATGGCTCTTGCCTGGCTCCTCCCACCCTCTGCACTGCTGCCTCTCTATTAGAGGTAGCAGTGCAGAGGTGGGAGGCGGGGTGCAAGTGGCTCTGTAGGGTTCAAGCCTGCTTGCCATGGGCACTGGCTCCTGTCTCCCCCACCCTTGCTGCCTTTGTTGTGCATGTAGTCGTTAGGATTAATCAAATCTAGGCTCACGATTAAAAATACCATCTTGTTTTACTATAGATTGCAGCTGTAATTTAAATCCTTTTGATATGGAGATGTAACTTTAGCATCCTGAGGCCTGGCTGACTTACAGTTTTCACAATCATCCATCCATCATCTGTGACTTCACTGGATATTGTAAATGTATTGAAACTATTCTTTTTGTGACTGGTTTAACCTTTAATTTGCCTTATTCTTGGACTAGTTAGTGATTTTATAGTTGTGGAAGTCTGAAAATCTGTGCTTCTGGACTTAGTGCCTGAAGAGAGATTCTGCAATTGCAGAATGGTAGGCAAATAAATGATGTTGCATGGATTACATCTATCAGATTAGTCTCTAACTAGTATTAGGCTTGCTGATAAAATCATCATTGACAACTTGTATTAGTGTTACCGTCATCAGAATAATGTCTATAGGTTTCCTACAGATAATCACAATATAATTTTCAGTGATCAATATTTATAAGATATAATTAACATAGGACACATTTATACTGCAAAAAAAACCCACCCCACTGTTGTGATGGTGAGTCTTTCTAGGGATGTTAGCACACAATTGCTTAAATGATTAACTGATGAGTCTGGGCTTACTGTTTTATCCAAATGACTACACGCATTCCCTCTCCACCTGTACAGAGGCAGCAAGTTGGGGAAAACGGTGTCCATGGGGAGCCAGCTTTCAGCCAGCTCCCCGTGAGGACTGGATCCCGCAGAACTGTATACCCCCACCTTTGCGCTGCTGCTTCTAACAGAGAGGCAGCATCTTGGAGGATGAGGGGCACAGGTGGGAGTCGTTACATGCAGGAAGCCAGAATTTAAGCTGGCTCTCCATGCATCCTGGCTCCTCTGAGATGACTGCTCACCTCTTGCTGCCTCTCCCCTCCCCCATGCTGCTGCTTCTGTATTCCACTGCAGATAGAGGCTGCTCCGTGGCATGTCGGACCAGCCTCTGTACATGAGGAGCTCAAGTTCCCCCGCAGACAGGGGCTGCTGCTGCCTCATGGCTGGAAATGGTGAACCAGAGCCAATGGGAGCCGCAAGGCTCTGTGGCTACAGACCCTTTAGTTAAACAAAACAGTGTGAGCCTGCTAGTGGCTTTCCCAGAGCAGGCCCACAGCCCACTTTGAGAAACACTGAATTACTTTATGAAATAGATGAAATAGATGACAGAATGACAACTACTATTAAAATTCCCTTGGTAATGGAAGAGGAGATGTCTCATCCCATCTTTGATGTCATGGGTTCTGCATTCAGAAACAGAATTGTACTTTTATATGGGCTGCACTGGCAGACTGAATGGCTGGCCTGCCATTTATGGTATTCTATAAAGTTAAGGTTGTGCTATGTCCCCCACCCCAGGTTTATACATAAAGTATTGACCGAGTTTCACCTGAATCATTCAGTACTCTCGCTTTTTCCTCCCATCAGACTGCATGGACATGCAGGTGAAAATAGATTACATATATTAAATGCAAAAAGGGCTTTAGTTATTTCAATGGGACTAAACAATTTAGAATTTCTTCTAATCTTTTCGTATTTTATGTTGATTTATACAAAAGTCAAACAATCTCTTTTTCAAACATTATCAAAATGGTTGTGTACAAAAGAGGCTTATACATTGACATGTATTCCTATGCCTGAGGATTTAGGTCCCAATCCCCTAGTGAAGGTGAATTCAATGGTATGCCTTGGATGCATTACAGGTGCTGCTCTCCTGATTTCTGTAACACACAATTGCATACATACACTTGCATAGCATGGTTATTTGGACTTTGGACTTGTCTATACATGTGACTTAGTGTATGGAAAATCAGGGTGTAAATGTACAGCATGCTAACTCTCCACATGTACCCTGCTACCATATGCTAAAAGTTCGGTAGTCTACATGGAAATAACAGAACATCTAAGCACACAAAGAAAGTTTCTTGTATTATGCTTCTCTCTGTGGTATCTGAGTTCCTGATTGTTTCCCTCCATATTGATATTTTTTTGCCTGCAATTGGAATTTTATTTCTTCTTCCAGGTATGGAATATATGAACGGTGTAGAGAATTGGTGGAAGCAGGTTATGATGTACGGCAGCCAGACAAAGAAAATGTTACACTTCTCCATTGGGCTGCAATCAACAACAGGATAGATCTGGTGAAGTATGTGTTAATGCATAGCTAAACATCAGTAATGTCTGCAAGCAATTTCTGTGTGTGTTTATAATGCTAAATAGTCTTTACAGTTCCTTTTTAAACCACCTAATTTTTTAGCCTTAAAATTGGAAATAAAAGCCAGAAACTGCAATTTAGATATTTTGCAGAATCTCTGGGATGCTATAATGTCCAAGAATAAGACTTGTTAAATGCCTAGCAGCAAGGCCAAGCCTGTTTCAGGTCAGTTAAACCTTTCAGAACAGTATTCAGCTGGAATATTTGAAATGCAGAAAGGCTACTGCAAAATTCTCAGGTCTGAATGGCACTTCTAATTTTCGGAAGATGATACAGAAGAACAGATCATGCAGCCGGAGACCTTGAAATATCTCATTCTTTTGTGAATATTAAATTCTCCTCCATGAGAAAAAGGAATCTTATGGAAGAAGGTAGTGAATTTTCTAGGCAACTAAGGTAAAGTCCCTTTGATCTAATACAAAAAAAGAACTTAAATATTCCCTTTTCACAGGGTTTTTTGTCTTATGGAATACAAGAAATGATGACCAAATAAAAAATTCTTTAAATTTTTTTGAACCACAGAGACTACAGTAAGGCCAGATCTATACTCATAGGGAATGTTGAATCAAGATATGCAACTCCAGGTATGTTAATTACGTAGCTGGAGTTGATGTACCTTGTTTTGCGTTGCTCCTCTGTTCCCGTAGTTGGAAGCCTTACTCCTCACACAAGCAGGAGTACTGGCAGCGAGAAAGGGCACCCTCTGAGTTCAATTTCAGTGAGTCTTATCTAGAATTGCTAAATCCAACTCCGAAAGATGGATCTTATGTCTAGTGAAAACATGGCCTAAGTAATGTTATAATCTCTTTCCTTTCACATAATATAAATTGAATCTTGATTTAAAACCCTGGCAATCTTTGGTGGGGTTTCTTATAAAGGAGGAGGTGGGGGTAGAGTACTTAATCCAGTTCAATGACCCAGAGTGCAGATTTCAAAGTAGATCTACTTCTAAAGTGCATGTGCAGCCACTACACAACCATATATGAAAAGACAAAAATTAGGCACAAAGAGGTTCTCTAGGTCTTTAGTCTTTAGGTCCCATCTGTTATTACAGGTTCTTTGGCCACCAGACCTGGTTGTTTTCTATTCCCAGGCGACGATGGTTGCCTTTATTTGCTTTTTAAGGGCACTCTTTTCTTATTGCAGTTCATTTTGCTTTCCATTATGCAGAACCACTAAAGGTGACATACAGACATGGAAGTATGTTAGTCATTAGTCTTGCAAGACAGGAAAAATAAGTGGTGTTGCAGTTCTCTTGGCAAAGGCAACTAATCTCCTTTTACACTGTCATAGAAAAGTGTAAAAGGATAACATTGATTATGGCCATATCTCTAAATTCAAGTACATGGATATCTTCATTTTATTAGATAAAAGGCAGGCAGTAGTCCACCTTTCCCTATCATTTTGAGGGAGCATCTCTGTACCCAGTTGATAACAAAATGTAAGGTACATGGATTCTTCAGGCAATCAGAACTCTGAGTGAGAGTTTTGTCTTTTTCCTGTTCTTCTTCCTTTCTTCATACCTCTAATTTTCCTTCTCCTTCTGGCTTATCTGACAATAGCAGTGGCTGGAATGTCAAAGATGTTTTAAACAACTTAAATCACTAAAATATATGTATTCTTGTCTGGTATTTATATTTCTTCATTAAAAAGGTACAGTGTTTTGTGAAAGCAGTTGGTAAAATGTAATCTTGTAATCTTACTTGTGTTCTCTTATTCATTCAGTAAATACAAGGCGTTGATCATGGTTGATGTCTTTAATGACGTGCTTGTATTACAAATACTCCACTCTCAATTGGCGCTATTCTTAATAGAGTCCAAAGACTGAATGAGCACTGAAACAGAACTATTCTTTCCTCCCCAAGTAGTCATAGTTCCCTTGTGAGGGATTTAAGTATAGAAGTGATGTAGGTAAGAACTAATTTCTGGCTAGTGTAATTATTCACTCACCTCCATAAGCTCTAGAAACTCCCACATCTCCCACTAAATTCACCTGCAAACTTGTCTATAAAAAACTCAGTTTGGTTATGCATTTGCTCCCGTTTATTAACTTAAAAGCAAATGTTAACTCTGTAATTATGTCACTTCTAAGGTTGCATTCAGGCCTTACTCACTGTGAAAGAGGGAAACAGTTACTGATATATAACTTCTTTGTTGGCATCTAGAATTTAAAACAGACTCAATATTCTTAATGTTTCTTCTGTTGTAGATGTTTGTGTAACTTGGTGTTTTGTGCTCTTATCATATGATTACTTCATACACGACATGCTAGCAAAATAATTTATTGAAAAGTAAGATGGTAATGAACCAGAATGAACATCTACCATATTAATAATGGTTTGGAGGGTTGTTTTGGAGTACAGATCTGAATTTTACATCTGGTTTCTTGCTATATACTGGGCTGAGCTAAGAAACTTGGATATAACACCTCCACATTTTAGGGTGCCTGAAATCTTGATCTGAGACCAAATTTTGCATATAGATTCAGCCTTAATTTACAGATATTTCCATTGACCTGCATTGAAGAAACTATATTAAGGTTTCTGGCAAGACGTGTTAAAAATTTTTTTTTGCTAGCTAACTTCATCATTTTACAATTTAATCTCTTAAGGAAAAGCATACTTCAGTAGAGAAAATAATTATCTCATCTCACAAAAACTGCACATATGTTATAAATATGAATTGCTACAGATTAAATGTGGATAATTCAATTTGTCTTACAGGTGGTTGGTATTCTTGAAAATGTTTTTCAAAAAATTAAAAACGACTGGATAGAAATTAAAGTATCTGTTATTTGTCCTGGTCTAATAAGTGTAATTGAGAAGCATGTTAAGTCTCTACACTTGGTTAAAGGCATAACAGAAACATTCATTCTTGGAACAGTGATTTCTGTAGGGACATTCCAGTGATAAAACATGCTCCAAAATTGAATGGTCTAAAACTATATTTAAGCTGCACTAAAATTCTGCAAATATTTTTGTCTGTTTTCCATAAAAGTTCTTTAGTCCATCAAATTTACTTTCTTATAACTTAGTTGAAAAATATTTTTCAATTTTAATAATATAAATCTTTTAAGTGAATATAGTGATAGCTAAATTAGCAATCATTCTGTTAATAAAAATGTTAAAATGGAATTAGACCAATAAAAAGCTTGTGTGCATCAAAAATGTAAGACTGGCAGTTTCAAGGAGGAGATTTGTTATAGGGTAATTGGAATTTTTTTTAAAAAGCATCTTAAATATATCTTTTTAATTAAATATTTGTCACTTATATTTCATGTTTATGATTGTAATCTAAAGAATCTAGGTTAAATATATGTTTCATTTTGTTTTTAGATTCTACATATCAAAGGGTGCTATTGTTGATCAGTTGGGAGGAGATTTAAATTCCACCCCACTTCACTGGGCAACAAGGTGGGGACACAATTTTGCATTTTCTTTACTCCCAGTTTAATTAGAAAGTAGTTTCTTTATTGGAGTGAAATTCCTTTATATGTTTGTATTATGGGAATTTGGGGTGCTTTCATGCAAGAATGATCTTGAGAAACTAGGTTGCTGGTTGTAACTGAGTACAGGTAGGACCTTTATAGTCCAGATTTCGGTAATCTGGCAACATTTCTGTTTCAGCGCCCTATGGATGCTTCCAGGCTGGAGTGCTCATGGGGAAAAGCTGGACCCCCAAGCTGAGCAATTCCTCCGCTACCGTCCCAGAGCTTCCAGAGTACCACAGATATCTCATTTACAGCAGTCAAGCTCAGGGAGGGAGGGGGAAAAAGCAGGGACACTTCAGGGAAGAGGCAGTGTGGCTGTGGAGCCCAAGAGCCGGGAGTGCAGCCCGGCAGCCATGGAACTCAGTGCATACCCACTCCTGCCCCCTAGCCACAGCCACCCTGCCTCTTCTTCTGAGCCACCCTCCGTCACCAGTTCCCACTTGGTTAATGCCGGCCCTTCTACTGCCACTGGAGCGGAGCACTGCAGCCGGTGACAGCAAAGGGGCCAACATTGATCTTCCCTCCAGCATATATCCTGGTTCAGGATGAGTTAGGTCTTGAGGGGAATGGATCAGAGAGGTAGGTACAACCTGTACATTATATGTTTGGCCTACAAGGACATGGGCATACAGTTAATCTATTGGCCGGTTTACTAGTTTCAGATGAAGATGAGGCTGATCACTATGTTAAGAAAGTATATACATTTTACATAAATTGGAGTCAGTGGTTGCTTTGTAGTTTTCTCTCCTATTGATCTGGGAATCTTGCCTTTCAGGATTGGAGGGTCTAGAAATACAGAAGTGGAAGATATGAGTCGGGTGATAGGAGAGATCAAAATTATTATGTAGGATATTGTCAAAGTAAAAAAGGGGTGGATACACATGTGTACAGTACAGGATAGACAACTTTCTTCTAGTGGTTACTCCTTGGATACAATAGAATAGAAATGAACGGGGAAGGAAATGTATATGTACTAATATTCATAATTGTGCACTGCAAAAAGGAGGCCTGGGATACTGGTCTTTGGAACATTTAAGTAATTAAATTATGTTGTTACTTCAGAGTGAAAAAACCACTCATTAGGCTAATCTGTTAGGCTTAGTTTTAAATATTAAAACTAATTTATTCCTTTGGGTTAAAGAGCATATTTGACTATGTACGTATTATAAGGTAAACAATTAAACGGATTGTTACTGTTCTAAATTAATTCAGGTTCAGAGAATATTTGACTATTATTTTGAACGCCAGTTGACCAAAGCCATATTTTGATTAACCAGAGAGGATTGTTTTGTGGTGTCATAGCTGTGCACAAATTGACAACTGTGCATGTTTGGCACCTTATCACAAAAATGGTGAGAAATGGGAAAGTATCCGTTTCCAAGTAGCACATTTCCCCTTCCCCCCATTAGAAGGATACATTGCATCTCCTCCCTGTAAAAAAGAAAATCTGTATAAAATTTTTAAAAAACAAAAATATAAAATTAACTCATATTTAATTGGTCATAATATTTACAGAATTAGATGCATAATTTCAATTTTCAAAGGAAATACTGTTTTAAGCTTTAGAATTGCATCATTCGTGTCTTAATTGTTTAATTAAAAATGTCTGAATTTAACATTTTTCCTATCCAAATATGTTACCAAATGTTTTATATATATATAT